CCCCCCCCCCCCAAAACAAAAAAAAAAAAAATCAAACAGCACCCGATGATACTGATAGTAAACAGATACAACAAACGTGTTTCTTGATCGACAATTGAGGCATATGGCAGATTCCAAATCAATCCACAATGCCCATGATTATACAAAGCAAGAAAATGCAACTAAATAATTCAAACACATGAGAGAACCTAACAATAGCAATTGCTAAATCGGAAAAGTAAATATCAAATTCCTCTGAATCTAAACAAATGTGCCGTTGACTTCAACCTTGACCTGAAAATCCTACCCAAAAGTATCTGATCAAAAGGTCCAACAGTAAGCAATCTCTCCGGAAACTAAAGAACTATTCCACAAATGAAACGATTTAATAGAAGCAAAGACAACATTAAAATCAGTGGCCGAGATAGAAATAAAAGGGCCATAAAGTTTCAGACACACGAACAACGGAATATACACAAATTGATGATCACAAGGATAAGGTAAAGTGAAATTGAAAAGGTAAATCAAGACTACTACGCAGTGAGTAAACTACAACTACAATTTGAAACAAGAATTACAGAATAATAATGATCCGAATGAAGGAAAAGGGTACAGAAGATTTCAAACCTTTATAGCCAGACAGAGTGACTCACCGCGCTTCTCTCTCTCTCTCCGCTTTACTTCACTTCGACTCAAAACATCGACCAGGTGGCTGGATTGGATACTTATAGCCTCAGAGGGATTTGCCAATGCTAGGTGTGGGTATGTTAACCTGACCAGCCGGTTAGTCATGTACCCGCGCGCAAAGATAACAATTAAACTACTCTCGCCAGTATGGAAAATCTATTTAATATTACGACTAAAGGAATTAAATCCTTAATTTATAAAAATATAATAACAGTTAAGATGGATTTAATTTTTATTTATTTTAATCTAATAATATAAAATTCATCCCAAAAAAAAAACTCTTGCCCAAAAAACATTTCTCGACTTCAATGTTATATAACTTAATCAACGTATTAACACACTTTTCAATATCAGACAATCTCATCAATTCACACATACCGTTATCTTTATTTTAATTTTAAATTATGTAATTAAAAAAAACTAAATTACTATATAAAATATAAATATTGTTGGATCCATGTTCACTTTTGGATATTATATAGTATCATCAAACACGAGATTATTACTAGTAACTAAATATTCAATGTAATGATTACATCATATTATTATCCTTACGATATGTTATCAATTAATAATAAATAAATAAAGACAAATAAATGTTATTAATCTAACGATGAAACTAATTAAAATAACTTAATCTGACCAAAAAAATAAAATAACTTAATTAAAATTAAATTAAACTAATTAAAAAATCGAGAACTAAATTAAAATCGAAGACAAAGTTTTCTGACCAGCTATGATTTTTATATGTATATATATATCTCTAAGCGTGTGCCAGATGGTGTCCTTGTAGTGGTTGGCTTATGCAATCTCACGTGTTTCTTTCAAAATTCCACTAACCCAAACCACTACTGGTTTCTATTCAGAAGGAAAAAAAAAACCACTACTGGTTTTCCCACTCGGATCAAATGTACTTTGCTGATAAAGTGGTTCTCTTCCCAAACCACTTGAAATTACCAATATGGTCATTAAGTTAAGCCCGACATAATTGACTTTAAATTGCTGATGTTGTATCATCCGAATTAGTGGTATTGGTTTCCAATCATTTTTAGCTCTAGTGTGATTATCAAAAAGAATTTAATTTACAAGAATAATGTAGTTTGTTATTTTATTTTGGTGATATTGTAGCGACGAACTATCATTTCGAAGTAATAACTATGACTCAAATCGAATATTTTATAGTTGGAGGATCCTCATAATCACGCTAAACGAAAATTAGTCACCCTTCTCCACTTTAAATGCAATCGTTTTTTGTGTAGATACATTTGAACGAAGGGATAGTTTTTAATTAAAACAATTATAAGAGTTCAATTTGGGCTGATTCATTTGTTAACTTAGGCTTTTATTTAATGTATAAATCTTAACTCAATGGTAAACTCCGGTATATTAACTCCACAATTAAATATAGTTAATGTCTTAATATGCTTAAAATATGATATTTAACCTTAAATTATTTTTATTATGTTTAAATTAATCATACAAGAGATGTTTACTAAGCTAAATTGGTGGCATAAAATTGATCGCGATACTTGATTTCTTTTCTTTTTTTTTGGTTCAATGATCAAGGTTATCTGAACCTGTTTACATACATTTTAATTTATCTTCTTCTCAGTATGATCAAAGATAGGCTGTCCATGTGCAAAACTAAAATATTTATGAGAGATAAATTTTGTCTGATTTAATTCTAAAAAATTATTGATATTCAAAATTCAAAACGTCTAAAATTACAGCTTGCGAGACTTAATTTCACCTCAATTGACCGTTGCAGAGAGATCTCAGTAGTCAGGATGGCAATAAGATCAGAGATTTTTTGGTTTACAAAAAGTCAAAATAAGAAACAAGTGATGCAAAAATATAAGGGTGAGTTTGCGGTTGACTTAATTGACCATTGTTTCGGTGTTAGATTTTAAAGTTATGGGTTTGAATTTTATCGTCCCTTTTTTGTAATAATTTTTAATTAAAAAAAAATACATAAGAGCTATTCGCGTTACTATTAAAATTTGAGGATTTAATGTGCAGTGTTGATAGAGATCGTAGTGGACTAGGTACAAATGAGTATTCGTTTAAATTCGTTCTGTTTGGACCTATGATAGACTATACGTATTGAATGATTGAGATATACAGAGATACTCGTATAAACCTATGCGAAAATGGACCGACATTTACCCCGCCTCTTGCCCTTCCTATTTTTTTTTAATGTTTTTGACTTGTAAAAATATAAATTTTTGTATTTTTTTTTATGTTAGATTATGTTATATTATATTATGTTACATGATATAATGTTTGATTTACATAAGAGACAAATTTTTAATTATATTATATTGAATTATGTTGTAGACAAAGTTTTAATTATATTATGTTAGATTATGTTGTAAATGACAAATTTTTAATTATATTTTATTTATAAATTTAAATTATGTTGATTTGAACTTGGGTTGGAGTGCGTAAGGTGGACAGGGCGAGGGCAGGAGATGGGGCAAGGGCTGAGATTACAAATTTACTTGCGGATGAGAATAAAAATAAAAATTATGTCCGTTAACGGAATGAATCAGGGATAAATGAAATTTTTTTTATGCGGGTGTAAAAAATACAGACTACACCCCTTGTCCCGTTTCAATCAACTGCTATCCGTTGGTACTGATATAACTTTAAAGGATTCATGTGTAATTTATCCCCCGTTTTAGATTCATCATTCTGTCATTATAATATAGTTTCTGGCACAGCGGTCCCACTGGTCATGAGAGAATCCATAATTGAAAGAGCCTTGGCCTTTGGCTTCTTGCGAACCGATGCTGACTCACTGAGCTGATCCGCAAAGCACACGCAAAGAGGAGAGTGGGGTTGGGAAAAGAGGCGGAGGGATTAAAATTTTACTTCACTGCATTATTTTAATTATATAGGAAATAGAGGAAATAGAAGCGTTTTGATATATTTCATAAACATTTCAATTCATTTTTAAAAATTAAAAAGAATAAAAAAATTTAATAATTATATTTTTAAAAATATTGTTCAAAACATCTTAAAATATTTCAAAATAATTATATAAATATATTGAAATATTATAAAATACCACAAAACATTACGAAAATACCTCAAAAAAATTTAAAAATTTGATTATATTACTGATTCGTTTCAGTTTCTTTGAAAATAAAAATATTTCAAAATTTTCGTAATAAAATTTTGATTCTTGACCCCAAGTTATTTGGGTGGGTAGAGGAGATAGGATGAGTTGTAAAGTTAAATATCCGGATTTTGAAATTTGATAATTTTATAGTTTCGGCTATAACCTATGATTGAGCTAGAGAGTGGATTAATCATAGTGCATGTAAGTTGTCCCGAATCTTCCTGATCGTAATACAAAAAAACGAAAGTAACTGAGAAATGTTACGATATCACTTTTTTATTTTTTGTTTTTCTACTAAAAAGTGAAAAAAATATTCAAAATGTATATTAAATTTCACTTAAAATATAATAAATAAATTTTAATATTAATATAAATACTTAAGAAATAATAAATAATATGATACAAAAATAAAAACTTTTCAATACCATATTCAAACCCGATAATATATAGCCAAAAAGACTAACTAAATGGAATAAAAAACAGTAAAAATGAAATAAGGAGGCGCATAAGCATAACAAGCCTTTACAAAAAGTAGTCTTGCTTTCACCGTCCTTTCTCAGATTCCTCTCTCTCTCTCTCTCTAATCAATTAGATAAGAAGAGAGCACAGAAATCAGAAATCTGCCCGTCCTCTGCTTCTCTCCGGCATTTCGTCAAACAGGTTAACTTCCTCTCGTTTCCCCTTACCCCCGAAAAACATATACAAAAGAATATAAAATACCGATTAATTTGTACGCATAGGTAGTTATATATACAGATTATATGTATATGTATGTCTTTGTATCGTTGGTTTTTAATCAGATCGCATCACGGGAAGCTTCGATTTTCATTATCTGCTCTCCTGAAATCATTTGATTCCCCCAATTGGTTTTTTGACTGTTCATGTTGTGATACTTATTGTTGAAGACTATTCATCAAATTTTGTATGTTGTTCTTAGGTGGCTATGTGTTGGTTTATTGATCTGACTATTTGTTTTGATATTTCGGTCTTCGGTTTTATCGCGATTTTCCTGGTTAATACAGTGATTTTTTATGTTCTAGAAAAGGGGTTACTAATAGTTAATACACTTGCTATGAAAATAATCAGACTTTCATGTGTTAGTACCTAATTTGACACCTTAGCCGTGCCACATGCTGCGATGTTCATCTGCAATTGGTAATTGGGTACCCTCTTTCCCATTGGATAGTTAAAGGTTGCTGGATTCTTTGGAACCAATCTTGATTGAAGGCCTAGGGCTTGCTCTGAAGAGTTGTGCTCAATTCTAGCAAGGTTGAGCTGATAAACACTCACACTTCTAAAAGAGCTGCTGTGTCTGTATCAGCACATTTTGGACACTAGCACTTTCTGGACAATCCCTGCGACACCATATTGACCGTGTCTATAAATTGGAAGTAGTTTATGTCTTTCTTATAGCATGATGAGAAGTTTAATCAAGAATGCATATTTGCATTTATGTGTTTCTCATGCTGAAACAATAGATATAACAGTTTTTTAATTTTTTTTGTGGTTAACAAGGAGGTTCTAAGCCACTCAAAGCACCTTCCTAATCGACCCAGTCACATGTAGTCCTCTGTCCTACATACACCATGTAATTACCGAGATAATTTCCTCAGGGATGGTCCCAAAGATGAAATTCGAACTCAAGACTTCTAGTCCTCAAAGTGGATTATTGTTTAACTTGTCAACCCTTAATGTGAATATTTACTACATTATTACACATCATTGCTTATTTCATATTGTTTCGGGTTATATGTATGTAATGGCAAACAGTTTAGTTCTATATAAAATTTTCATTTATTTGTTGTTGCATCTGTGTCCTTTCTTTTAGGATTTTCCATGCTGGTGTGTCCTGGTATGTACTTTGTAGATGTCTGAGATGTGTGGAGTATAGTCTCTCTAATTCTGTCTTTTCTTTTTTGCCCTTCTACCATACCTCACCACCTCCTTTTTTCCATGCGCCCTGTATGAAGAATTTTCTTTGTTAGGTTGTTTTGAGTTAGTTTTTTGCACAGAGAAACCTTTAGATAAACGAGTGCAATTCTGTTCTATATAATTCATGTAATTTTCCTCTGTTTTTACCATATAGTTTTCCAGTGTTTATTTCTGTTTTGTAGGAATAATGATCAAATTATTTAAAGTCAAAGAGAAACAGAGGGAACAAGCTGAAAATGCAAATGGGAAGCCTCCAGTCAAGAAGCAAAGTGCAGGAGAACTACGTCTTCATAAAGGTTGTTGAATTGACAATTATGAAAGTTTTTCCAGAGTTTCCTTATTGCGCTTTGCATAAATTTATATGGGCTGTCTGTTTCAGCTCTGGGTTGGATAGTTTTATAATTGCCATGTGCATATGGAAATGATAATACCAAATTAGAATTCAGGAAAGGTTTTTTTTCAAAGAATTCACTAAAAGTTAGGTTTTTCTGATATAGTTGTTCATTGTGTGCCATATTATGTTCCATGTTCTCATAGCTCTCATTAATGTAAGGTTGTTTTTTCCATTAGTTTTTCCATAAGATATCCAAGTAGTCAGATAGCTGCTTATGATGGTGATGAATTTGCTTGTCTAGAAAATGACAAGTTTTTGGGCTTTTTTTGCTTTTTTTTCATTTATGATGCTTATAGACATTGTTGGGATTAGTGTGTATAATATGCTTGCAGTCTTATGATAGGAGTGAGGTTGAGATTTTCAGAATTGTATCTGGCTGTTTTCCTTACATTTTTTAAATTAAGAGTAAGGCCCCACTTTTATACATAAATTGCTATGGGTAGGCCTGTCCATGGTCTGTTTGACCCTTGGTAGCCCGAAGCCTGCCTCAGAAAATCTTGGCTGCATCCCAGTCCCCAGACCCAAAAGAAGCCTGCCCGACCAATGCCCAAGTAGTCCACGAGCGAGCCACAACGTTATCCCCAGCCCACGGGCTAGCTTGAAGGCCAGTGATTAAACCCATCCCAAAGGCCCGCCCAATATTCAATTTACTTATAGTTTCATTTTTTAGTTCCCGATTTATATAGGCTATAAAATGTGAGTTGTAAATTTATAATATACAAAAGCATCCATTGTTTTAAGTAATAAGCTATAAGTTTTGAACTTTGACGTTATAATTTCCAACTTTTAGGGTATATATTAGTTATTTTTAATGAAAAGCCCGCCCCAGCCGACCATTGACATGTCTGACAGCTCGAGTCATGGACCATGGGTTAGGCTATGGCATACCCGCTTGATCCAACAGTTTATGGGGATGGGACTTGCCTCGGTGTTAGCACAGCCTGAATTTTTTTGTCAGGTGCCGGCCCATGGCCTTATAAAAACACAATGGAATTTCGTTTTCTTGCATTGTTTCTCAATGTGTTATGTAATCTATGATTGTTTAGTTGATGCTAATTTTTTCTTGTATATTGTAACATGCTTTGTTAACCTTTTTTGGTATTTCCTTTTTCTTGTAGATATAAGTGAACTAAACCTACCCAAAACATGTAACATATCATTTCCCAATGGCAAGGATGATCTGATGAACTTTGAAGTCACCATTCGGCCTGATGAAGGATATTATTTGTAAATACTCTACTACATGCTTTTTGTTTTCCTACTGTTCGATTAAGTTAATTTAACTTTGTAACTTAACTTATGGTCATAGATATGGCCATTTTGTTAATTTTCATAATATTGTGCAACTCAGTATCGATTTTCTCATATTCTCTAATTCAATTTCTGTTTTCAGAGGTGGCATGTTTTTGTTTTCATTCCAAATTTCCCCTATTTATCCTCACGAAGCACCAAAAGTTAAATGCAAGACAAAGGTAGATGGATTTTTTATTTGGTGCTTTTTAGAAATGATTTTGTTTGAAATTTTGTCAATCAGTTGGATGCCTAAATACCCAGCTGTTTGCAGATTTATCATCCCAACATCGACCTGGAAGGAAACGTCTGCCTTAACATTCTTCGAGAAGATTGGAAACCTGTTCTGAATATAAACACTATAATTTATGGCTTGTATCATCTGTTCACGGTATTTGTTACTGTTCTGGTATGGAGCCATGGTTTATAGCTGGCTTTTTTGATTTCTCTGATTGGAGCACTTGTTTCTGCAGGAACCCAATCATGAGGATCCCCTCAATCATGATGCAGCTGCAGTGTTGAGGGATAACCCTAAGTTGTTTGAATCGAATGTGAGAAGAGCAATGGCTGGTGGGTACGTGGGACAGACCTTCTTCACTCGATGCATATAGCATCTGAAGGCAGCATCAAGCATGATTAACATTAATGATGCTGTATTTTCAAAAGTTTGTAAAGTTGGAAGCGAAACCATCTTATTCTGTGTTTTTTCTGCAATACTGGTGATGGGTTATGAGGTTCTTAAAATTTATTGCGCTGAAACATGCCGAAAGCTGTTTGTATGCTATTGTAACTTCGTGTTAATTTCTGTTGGCTAAATTATCATGCAAGACTAAGTGTTTTAGACATCTGCTTGAGGAAGATGATGGTTATAAGCCACTTTTGATTCACTGTTGCACTGTACAAGTTTGTCAGGACTTTGATTGTTCCAATGCTTTCAATCTACCCAAGCTGATGTTTTTTTCTGGAGTCTTACTTTCTTTTTAAATTTTGGAGAGTTTATAGGTACATGTATTCATATTGTTCCTTGATTTGTCTGAAGCACTTAATATCAGAGCTGTTGACTTGAAGACAAGTGGGAGGTAATTACCTCGTTATACTTTCCTTTTACTGGTTTGTATATCTAATGTGTTATGTTGTAAATCAGGACCATGGCTTGTCTAGCTGATTGATGCCAAGGTGAGAACAACGACCCGGGCTATCTCAATGCCAACTTGATTAATGCCACTTATAATGCATTTTGGGGCAATTGTTTGGCTGGGGTTATATGTCAAAGCCATTTGTTGATGCTTCCAGCACTTCCTGGCATGTTAGATGTGCAATAATAGGCATGGGCATGTGCATGTGCTACCCCAAACTAAATATAACTCTTATTATTATTATTTTTTTTAAAAAGTTGCTAGAAGATTGAAACTTTATGTATAACAAAAAATTTAATTTACTTAAAAAAAAAAATAGAAGTGAGAGAAATCACTTTGATAAACGTGTGAAAATTCCACCCCATTTCATTGATCCAATCATCCACAGAAATTTCAACGCTGATATATTTACTAAAAATTTGCTTATCAAATGAATATAAATTATTGGATCAATGGGTTTTATTAATTTTTTTGTTAATATTCCTTTATTTAATTGTTCACATTTATTTGATAAAATAAAATATTTATTTGATAAATTATTTTGATGCATTATTTGGTTTGGTTATACTAATTTCTGATGTGTCATGAAATCAAATGATAACAAGAACGAGTTATAAAATCATATATCATGATTTTGAATTTTAGTAATTTTTTGGGCCGTGAGGCTATAAAAAATTTATTTGAATTTTTTGGTCTTGAATTTTTTATGAATATCTTAATTCTTGTATGGATAATTTATTTTTTATCAGACCAAAAATAAGATTAGTCGAAGTATATGTAAATTGACTCAAATATTCTTGTTCTATAAAAAAAAAAAAAAAAAAAAAAAAAATTAAGGAACACAAATAGGACTGACTGATGCAAAAACGCCAGAAGCAGTAGGACAAAATGTCCCAAGTTTCTTTTTCTGAAAAGCCTTTGTTTTTTCGTCATTTTATTACAAAGAAGAGACAATAAATAATTGACCATAGGACCCACATTGGGCAGCCATTACTTATTTACCGACATTCCAGTCTGGCCTACTGTGTTTAACCCCTGCACCGTTACGTCTGTCCAAACAAATCTTTAATCCTTCATCTTCACATCTGCCTCGTAATCAGACTCCAAGAGCTTCGATCAACAGCTTACACGTCAACCACCGTTCCACCCTTGGATGAACTTTATCTCCTCAAGAGAGAGAAAAAAGCAGAGAGATTCTTCTACACTTGGTTAAAAATCGTTAATTACAGCTAGCCGCTCTAAAATTTATATTATTATTACGCTAACCCCTTCAGGTGTGGAAAATAATATTCTTACCCTGTCTTTTTATAGTCTCCTAACATATATGTTTTTGACTCAATGCCAATATTGCTTATGAGACTCATCATCATACTAGATAGTCAGCCTAATCATATATAAATTTGCATCGAAACCTCACAAATTCAAAAAAAAAAAAATTGTAATTACTTCTCCCTCGTGTCTGACTTATGACCACCATCAATGTACAAATCCCAACCATTAATACCAACCCCGAATAATCATTATCAGCTCCATTAAATCCACTCAAACACTTTCATCATTGAAAACCACCATTGCACACAATAAACAAGGCATACAACAACCCACAATAATCTCTAGTTATAATCCATGGCCACCAATGCATTTGTAGTTTACTTGAGAGTCTTTAATGTTTGATTCGAGAGAGGATGGTTTTGGGGTAAGGTGGTTCCACAGGAAAGAAGGGGGGTTGTTAGGGGACCAATTAGGATGGGTAGGAGGCTTTTTGAGTGGGATGGAGGGTGGTGGCAAAGCGTTGGACCAAGTTTTGCATGTGTGAGGAGAGGGGACTTTGTGATAGTACAATTGGTTCAAGTTGTGTGAAGTGGAGCCATATGGGATTGGAGGTCAAGGGTGACCAACGGAGAATGGAGGTATGTTAATCAAGTGAGTTTAGATTTGTTAATGTTTAACCCAATGATAAAATTATCATTCATTGATTTACACCAATTCTATTTGTTGATAGTAACAAGGGTATTGTGTTTTACTACTGGGCGATTGGTTTAGTATGTAAAAATTCAAATTTTCTCATTCAATATTTGGGTTTGAGTTTTCATAGTTACAATTGTTCAATGATGATAAATCTACTCTTCATGTAGAGTACATGATAAGACCTTAGTTTCGGTTTCATCGTAAGTGCGGTGGTGAGGAAAAATACTCTCTGACGAATGTGTGAAATGATATATTAAAAAAGAGGGTCCATGTGAGTTATATACAACTATTGGGTACCTGGATGCAATTAAGCCTATCCGAAAAAACAGAAAACGTCTTCCTCGTGAGTACTGCAGACAATGTAACGCAATATACGCCAACACCAACATGCTACAGAACCACACCTGGGACCCTAGGTCTTTTTTATATATAGTAAGAGAGAAACAGTCCATCTGTGTTTCAGAGAGAGAGAGAGAGAGATGATTTGGGAAGGAGGATCAACAGCGTCATCATCAGCTGCAGCAACAGCAGCTGGGAGGAGGAAGCCATCGTGGAGGGAGAGAGAGAACAACAGGAGGAGAGAGAGGAGGAGGAGGGCTGTAGCTGCCAAGATTTACTCAGGGCTTCGGGCTCAGGGCAACTACGATCTTCCCAAACACTGTGACAACAATGAGGTATTGAAGGCACTTTGTGCTGAAGCTGGGTGGATCGTTGAACCTGATGGCACCACCTATCGAAAGGTACCCTTCCTCCCTCTCCCCTCCCCCCCTCTCTCACACACACACATGCCCACACACACAATTATGTATACAGAGGCAGACACATACATAGGCGAATACTGTTTTTTCTTGATCTGCTTTGACGATTCCTGCTTGATTTCATTTAGATCTGAAAATTTGGGAAATGGGTCATCCTTATTTGCATCGAGACTGTTATTCTTTTTCATCCTTTATTAGGGTTCATTAATTCTACGGATTTTGATTTGGGAAATCAATGGCTGTTAATTGGGTGTTTATCTCTGTTCCCTTCTTCTGAAACAGTGTGGGGTTTGTTGGATAGTGGATCAAGTTCTTTAATTGCTATGTTTCTGTGCAAAAAGACTATGAATCACCTTGTTTAACAGCTGCTGCATCTCTGCTGCTTCTTACAAGTTACAACACTTGCACACGCAGGTTTTACAGCTTAGTGACCGTGATTGCACTCCTCCAATAATCTTCGCCAAAATTTAAGAATCTAAAGTTCGAATTATTATCACAATTAACAGAAATTAAGCTTGCAAGGTCCTTCAAACTAGTCACTGGTTAGGAGTAGATTTGACTATGGGCCTTGTGAGAACAAAGTTAGGTCTATACCCAAAGTTCCCTCTTCGGACCACTATTAGTGGGGATTATAAGAAGGTGGGTGCTATGGTTAGTTTGTTCTTGTCACTTCGGGATGATTTATGAGTATTGGTGATGGATGATGATAAGTTATTGAGGTTTCGGATCTCTTCTTCGTGTTTGGATTGCTGGTTTCTTTGTCTTGTTTGTGTTGTGAAGGTCCTGCTTTCAAAAACTAAATTGCATCCGAATTAACTGCCTTGTTGATCCTTCATGGATTTCAAATCTTAACTGGGGGTGTGGGGTGAACTATTTTCTTATGACCAGATTGTATAGCTTAAGGAAGAACAATTTTAACATTTGTCCTTCCTCTCTATTATAACTCATGTATAATATCTGATTGTTTCTTTGGTTTTACTTTTACTTTAGGGATGCAAACCACCCGCATTTGAGACTGGGGGTACTTCAACCAACATCACACCATGCTCTTCCCACAATCCAAGTCCACCATCTTCCTACTTTGCAAGTCCAATTCCTTCTTACCAGCCTAGTCCATCATCCTCTTCCTTCCCAAGCCCCTCTCGTCTAGATGCAAATATGGCATCAAACCCGTTTGCATTTCTTCGTGGCTCTATTCCTTCATCATTCCCTCCTCTTCGAATCTCAAATAGTGCCCCTGTAACTCCCCCTCTTTCATCCCCAACTAGACTTGCTAAGCAAATTCCCAATTGGGACTCCTTTACCAAAGAATCCATGTCGGCTTTGAACTTCCCGTTCTTTGCTGTTTCTGCCCCAGCAAGCCCAACTCGGGGTCAACGGTTTGCTCCAGCCACGATACCTGAGTGTGATGAGTCTGATTCCTCTACTGTTGATTCGGCGCAATGGGTGAGCTTCCAAAAATATGCACCCACTGTGATTCCAACGTCTCCAACTTTTAATCTCATGAAACCTGTTCCTCAGCAAATTTTCCCTGAGGAAGCAATCTCAGATAAGGGCAAACGCACAGAGTTTGACTTTGAGAAGATAGCGGTGAAGCCATGGGAAGGGGAGAAGATTCATGAGGTGGGATTAGATGATTTGGAACTCACACTTGGAATTGGAAACACCCGGATATAGGCTACTGATCAAAGAGGTGGATAGTGGAAACAAAATGGGGCTGCTTTCAGTTCTTTTAGTTTACTCGGCTATCTCCAGAGGTGCATTCGCAGTTCTGTTGATGTGTCTACTTGTGGCGGGAGCCATCCGTATCAGAAATAGGAGTTTCTATTGGCCGCATGCAATTTGGTTTTTAGGAAGGATTAAACTTGCAGGTGTTCTTTTTGCCTCAGATTTCTCCTTCATCATATTAGTGATTAGATACCCTTTTCAAATTGTTTTGGATTGTTTTTATAAACATTTCATGTACATATTGTGTTTATTTCATGGTTGGGATCAAGGATTTTTATCTCCATTTTGGCCTGTAGACTATTCGAAATTTTCTCTTGATTATAGATTCAGCTATGTTTTCTGGCAAGCTTCTCTCTTCTTACTGTTCCCAAGTGTTCATTGAAATGTGATCTCTATACAACATTTAGTCTTATTCACTATTATTTTCCGACACCCATGTTGTGGCTGTCTTAATTAATGCTACTGCCTAGGGTCATGCACAGAGGCCAGTTAAACACAGAGGGTGTCACTATTTTAGAGGGTGGTTATTTATGAGACCATTCTTAGCTGTCTGGATGTGGGGTCTGGTGTTTTCTGTATCTCCAGACCCAACAGACCCAAGCTTTCTGTTTTGTTTGTCATTTGAGGCATGTGGTTTCTATAACATGTCGTGCTTGATGTTGTCATGCACCAATGGTCCCAACAAACGTTGGCATATCATGTTCAGCATAATTAAGAAAAACACTAGCAAAGCACAGTGTGGCAACATGAATGAAATAGGATTCATATCCGAAACTAAAATTAGGTTTTTTCGCGATAAAGAGCACTCGTCGCAATTAGATGCCCTTCGAAACTTAAATTTCAAATTAACACACTATATTTGGGTGCAAAAGGTCTTATTCGGTTACAAAATGCTCAAAATATATAGGCATCATACAACTCCTAATTGAAGATCTAGACGAAAGATCATTGACATGAATTCCCAAAACAAAAAAAGAAAACCAAAGAAGATCATGGACACCATGGGAGGTAGTTCCAACACACAAGACTACATATTACCATAAAATCATGCTCACGATAGTTGGATGTATGGAGGGGCTCTTCATTGTGCTAAAATTGTTATGTTGGTTAGACTAAATAGTACAAACTCTACAGAAACTCTGCTGATCGTCTGTCTTGCTTTATCTTTGCATTCCTAGTTGCGGTTAAGTAAAAGCTCAGGCAATTCAGTCATGGGATAGGTGTCTGCTTTCCACAGCTTCAGCTGGTACTTCTATCTCACCAAACTTGGGTTTCAGATCGTTTTTGACATTACTGTTGCAGTCATTGTATCTGAAGCAATTCAAGATATGATCATTAACCATCCCAGCCACCTGCATGAATGAATACACAACAGTAGGCCCAACACAGCAGAAGCCTCTCCGCATCAAATCCTTGCTGATGAGTTCTGATTTTGGTGTTTTAGATGGAACGTGACGTGCATAGCGGAAGCCATTCCTTACTGGCTTATGATCTAAGAAGTGCCAGCAATAGTTGTTGAAGGAACCATACTCCTGCTGGACCTGTAAATCAAGAGGAAATCAGGTGGCAACATAATATCGAGAATGCACCATTCAAGGCACAATTTTATCAATTTTTTGCTATTTTGACCTCTCCTGCATAAAAGAGTCCTAGGCATGACTACAAGAGAATTTTTTATGACCAAGTTGATACCAGAACCAATTTGGATAGAGCAGGAGATTCAATTCACCGTGTGTGTGACTTTCCGAACAAAGAAAAAAAAACTGATCACACGTATGCATATGCAACCGAGCATAAACTTGAAATATAAGACATTTTAGCATCCTCCTCAAGGAAATGAATGAGACTGGGCCATCAAAAACCAAATTGTGACATCTCTACAAAAGAGTGACACTTGATCTAGATTCCATTACCTTAAGCAGTTGATTAGCATTCTCCACGATTGCACGAAACTTTTGTTCTGATAGCAATGTGTTGTGATTTCCTCCTAGTATCAGCAACTTCTTTTCAGTGAACTTTGCAATGGATGATGGTTCGAAATTGTCAAAGAGCTTCCTGAAAGAGGATTTAACAATAACTCTCAAATATGCATAAGAAAATACCTAAGCTAGGGTGGAAGCCAAAGTACATTTGGGAATTACAGATTTGGCGATTTTGACAAACCTGAATGTGTCTCTCTTAGTAAGAATGGCTGGCCAGGTATGTTCTGCCAATGCTTGTGATAAAACAAGTAGCTCAAATAGCTTCCTATCATCATGAACTGGAACTCCCCATTCTTCATCGTGGAAAGTAGTATACAATGGGTCTACCAAGGTAAAAAGCCAAAAACATTAAGAAAAGTAAACTAACTAAGGAGACGTCTGGCCACATAACATAGATGAATAGTTCAATTCCAAATTTCATTTGCATTAGTAATTAGCCTCATTAGGACAATCTTCAAATGATAGCAACACATACAGAGGAAAGATGGTTAAAAAAAATTATGTTAGGATTCCTTTACAGGAGTCTCGAGGAAAAGAAAGATTTGGTGGTACATTATACTTGCACTGTACACCCTACTTAAGTGTTTCCTAGTTTGTTGTTCAATAGGGCAAAGAGGTCATCGAAAAGAAGAATTCTAATGATCTCCATCCCAACCACCATCAATTTTCTATCCCAGATTGCAAACTTTTGTTTGTTATTATATGCTCGGGTAATTGTCTACAACACAGTTTGCATAATGTCTTGTATAGTTTGGTGAAGTGTGAGAAATACTTTATTGCACAGAAACTATGGTGCTGCCATGGATTGATATCTAAAATAGACACAAGGATCTGTATCAAATTCAGCTAATTGTGCTTATTCTCAGCAAATTGGAATTGACTATCGAGAACACACATCAGTATAATGTTTTCCAACTAAAATCTGGTTTACTTGAGATGTTTTCTGCTCTAGGCATATCAAATTGTTATTTCCATCAGAATTATGAAACTACAATTAAAATTCAGTCCTAATGGGCAAAACTTAAGCAAATTAAATCTGGTCTCTAGAGTTGAAAACATAAAATTTTCATTCGAAAAAAAGTCGGTTTGCACAAACTTTATTCCCCGACCTCTCTGGCCTTTTCTCTTTTCTGCTTGTAATATTAAGTGTTTATGTATGTTTTTTGCTTTCTTTCCTTTTTATGTTCTACGGTCAGGATGTCTGAGTTTGCTTATGTGCACCTCGATCTAACTCCAAGGGTTGTCGAGATCCTTATTTAGAACAACTGAATTTACAACTCGACCTTATTACCTTATTACCTATTGAGCTAATTGGGGTTATATGTTTTTGCTTTCGGTGAAGAAAACAATCAGCCCCGAAAATGATTAGGTTAATGCCTAAATTTCACAAAAAGAAAACATATTTGCGAATTGGAAAAAACAAGGAGACTGAATCTTTAAATGAAGTACCAGAATTTGCCGTGATCCAATCACACCGCTTGATCTCAATAGGTACAATTGGAGATATCTTCACCGATTCAACTCCATCAGGAACAATTTTAGCAGGTTTCAGATCCGTGTTTTTAACTCTCCTCTTAGATCTTACATTTTTCGCAGAAGACCCACTACAAGAAGAGTCTGAAGAAGTACACAAACTGTCCACCGACACACTTTTCTGAACCACGGCTTGAGGAGTCTCAGAAACCAATTTTTTGGGCTTCTTGAAACCCTCCTTTTTCCGTTTCTGTTCTTCCGAAACCCTATCTCTGTTCCCGGCCGGTCCGAGTATTGCTCGTGTTTCGGAACTTGGTTGAATCGGAGACCGAAGCTGAGTAGCCACAGACATTGTTTTGCAAAACCTGAAATAGCTTCAAAATTTCAAATGTAGGTAATTAGAGATGTGTTGAGGCTCAAAATAAATGAAACTTAGGGTGAAATTGTGGAGAGAGATTAGGGTTTGAAGAGCAGAAGGATGAAGATGAAGAACAGAGTGTAGAGGGAAGGAGTTAAAGAGAGAGAAGAGGGGGGGGGGGGGGGGGCGAAAAAAAAAAAAAAAAAAAAAAAAAAA